TTTGCACATGCCTGATGTAGACCTCAAATTGCATAATATAGGTTTACACTGGGCATATAATGCCACCAGTAAAGTTATGCTATGGTAGCACTACACAATTCCTGGATTGGCTATCACCATTGTGCAAAGAATGAGAAATAGTATATGCATAGCGATCAGCGTATGATTGCATTGTGTGAAATGCACAAAGACAATTCACAATGTGCAATTCAACTGGAAACATCCATTTCACATTGTCCAACAAAAATTACCCCATATTCGTAATACAAAATACATCTACATATGTCATCAACAGAATTCTGCCCCCTGTATTTTTATGGATTAATCACTTAAAAATAAAAATTTGAAGAAACATGATGAGAGGAGGCAATTAACCCTTCAACTGTACAAACATGGCTTCTGATAGTTACAAAAGTATGGAGAATCTTATCATAATATGTGTTCGTACAATTCATTATTCAAGGCCCTTCTTTCCACCTGACACTTTTCATTTCCACTTGTCTATGTGCATTTGTATACTGTTTTATCTTCCACCACATCTTCTCCATCCTCATCGTTCATCCAATCCCCAAGTTATTAATCAATTATTCAGACCTAATAGATTTTTTTTCCTTCCCCACATTGTCGCATTCCCCACATTTGGCATATTCCCTAAGCAGAATTAAAAATTTAATTTCGGAATAACTAATCATGCAAGCATTGGGTTGCTATGAGTTTTCCGAGCTGTATGGCCATGTCCCAGAAGCATTCTCTCCTGACGTTTCGCCCACATCTATGGCAGGCATCCTCTGAGGTTGTGAAGTCTGTTGGAAACTAGGCAAGTGAGGTTTATATATCAGTGGAATGATGTCCATGGTGGGATAAAGGCCTTTTATCTGTTTGAGGCAAGTGTGAATGTTGCTCTTGATTAGCACCAAATGGCCTTGCAGCTTCAAAGCCTGGCTGCTTCCTGCCTGGGGGAATCCCTTGTTGGGAGGTGGCCAATTGCAACATTCATACTTCCCTCCAATGGTTGAGAGTTCTTTCTCCCACTCTGAACATTTCACAGATATATAAACATCACAATGCATCTAGACCATGGCCATATAGCCCGAAAAACCCTACAACAACCCAGTGATTCCGGCCATGAAAGCCTTCGACAATACATTATTGCCTAGTTTCCAACAGACCTCACAATCTCTGAGGATGCCTATCATACATGTGGCCAAAACATCAGGAGAAAATGCTTCTGGAACATGGCTATACAGTTAGGAAAACTCACAGCAATCCAGTGATTCCAGCCATGAAAGCCTTCAACAACACATACAAATATTATTCTCAGCATTTTAGTACCCAATCCTATCATTTTTTGACCAGAAATTCTACATCCGACCCCTTAATGTTTAACTGTTACCCCGTTCTGTATCATAGTTCTACTTGGATGCCATTGAATTTTGCAAAAATAAATAAATTCCCCTTAGATTTTCAGTTTACTTTTTAAAAAGTTAGTATATTTTGCCAAAATGTTGTGACAACCTTGGTAGTTTCATCCATCAATTCATTTCCTCAGGCCCTCCATTACCTGCCTAGGTTTCATATCTCAGTAGCTTCTTTATGAGGAAAACAAGAACAACATACAGGATTTCTTGCTCCGTTTGTTCAGATGGCTTGAAAATGAGATCTAGCAAATGTATAGACAATAAGTCTACCAATGAGTATCACTGACAATCGTTCCATGCTTCTTCCAGTGTCAAAGACACTATGTCTTTGTGTATCAGTTGCTTGGAGCAAACAGACATAGTGATTGACTTCATGCCATGTTCACCACGGAGCAATGCGGGAAATACAATCAAATCTTGGTCTAATACATCATTGTTCCTCTTACGTTCTTGCAACGAAATTTGCTGCGGCTCAAAATAACTGGGAATGAGCTAACTACACTCATCCAAACATACGAGAAACTGTATTGTCGAAGGCTTTCATGGCCAGAATCACTGGGTTGCTGTGAGTTTTCTGGGCTGTATGGCCATGTTCCAGAAGCATTCTCTCCTGACGTTTCGCCTGCATCTAGTGCAGGCATCCTCACAACCTCTGAGGATGCCTGCCATAGATGCAGGCCAAAAGTCAGGAGATAATTCTTTTGGAAAATGGCCATACAGCCCAGAAAACTCGCAGCAACCCATAGGAGAAACTCTACACACAATAAAACTGCTTCACATACACAGTGCACAATTTAATATCTTTATGCTAAGGAGTCAGTTTAATGTTTACAAAGCTCAGCTGGTGCTAGACTTTTGATATGTTTTAATCATCGGAAAGATAATTTATAATTGATTTGTATATGTTTTTACATTTTTAATATTGTGTTTTATTGTTATTGTTATTGGTATTGTCGGAATCTGAATTTTTTTATTTTTACTATAGTTTGTAAGCCACCCTGAGTTGTCATCCCTGCCCCGGGGGTGAGAAGGGCGGGGTATAAGTACAGTAAATAACAAATAATAAATAAATAAATAGCCTATGATTATCCACAATATCACACATCAACTGTTACTATGCTATTCGGCATGGTAATGGAATTTCAGTTAAGTTTATACTGATTAAGATCTTGGTGTATCCAGTTCAAAAAAACTCAAAACAGAACCACTTCCCAACTAGTCTTCTATTCAGGTCCAGACAATACCAAAACTACTTATTTATTATTTACTAGTTGTCCCCTGCCACACGTTGCCGTGGCCCAGTCTGTGTATATGCGTTGTGTGTGTATATATATTTGTGTATATGTGTATATATGTGTGTTTGTGTATATATATGGTTTTGCATATGTGTTGTAATGTATTTTTGTTTGTTGGTTTTTTAAGTCTCTTCCCCTGTGTTTTTCAGTGTCTTTATGAGCGATGGTCACTGGTTGGCCTGATAGGTGTATTGTGTCCAAATTTGGTGTCAATTCGTCCAGTTTTTCAGTTATGTTAATCCCACAAACGAACATTACATTTTTATTTATATAAATTTATTTATTTACGACATTTATATGCCACCCTTCTCACTCTGAAAGGGACTCAGAGCAGCTTACAAGATATATATACATACAATATATTATATTATTAGCATAGTACAATATCAGTATTAAATATTACTATATTGTACTATACCATTATATTGTAATATAATTGGTAATAATTACATGTAATATAAATATATAATTATAATATATTATTATTAGTATTATATTGCATTACATTATAATATTATAAATATTATATGTATATACAACATATTCATTACATTATATTATATTACATTATATTTTACTTTTACTTATATTATATTGCATTATATTATAATATTATAAATATTATATGTATATACAATATATTATATTATATTACATTATATTTTACTTATACTTATATTATATTGCATTATATTATAATATTATAAATATTATATGTATATACAATATATTATATTATATTACATTATATTTTACTTATACTTATATTATATTATATTACATTATATTATATTACATTATATTATTACTTATACTTATATAACTATTACTTAGGTTCAAGGATGAAGCTACATTAGGAAGGAACCTTCCCTGACCAAACTTGGAATTGTTTTTCCTTCTATCTCCTCTGTTCCAATTTGAAATTTGACATTACAGAATCAGTGCCAAATATATTTGGGTTGTTGTGAGTTTTCCGGGCTGCATGGCTATGTTCCAGAAGCATTCTCTCCTGACATTTTGCCTGCATCTATAGCAGGCATCCTCAAAGGTTGTGAGGTCCTCACAACCTCTGAGGATGCCTGCCATAGATGCAGGTGAAATGTCAAATGGCCCAGTAATTCTGGCCATGGAAACCTTCGACAATACATTGAACATCAATATGGCTTTGAAAGAGTTGTTTAAGCTGCGCACAAGTACAATACACTTTGATGTATACCACATTTTAGAAGGGAAAATGTAATCTCTCTTTCATTGTAGAACACCAGGCATAAAAGCATCCTATCCTATTTCGAAAGCGGTGGCCATGTTAAGTCCATTGCACCAAAACCAACAAAGAGACCTGTAGCACCCTAAAGACGGCTAAGACATAATTCGTTTCAAAATAATGAGTATTTTTTTACATGGGACTAAAGGATCGTATCTTCTTCCTTACCATAAATTTAAGGTTCTGTCCTTACCATAAATTTAGAAGGATCCTTCTCCCCTTGCCCCCATTTCAATATATCCATCTCATACGGGTACCACTAAGTTCCATACGCTTGCATTTCTCAGCTTTGAAAGTCTCACTCTGAATTGGAAAGCTAGTCTTGCATATATACACACACATATATACACTCTTTTCCACCCATGCAGGGAACTCAGCTATATAAGAGTCCATAATAATAATAAGGGAGTGTGTTATTAATTACCCACTTCTATTTGCATTGTCTGGCGGATCTTAAGTGGGGATCCTGTAGCTCCTAGACCAATAAACACACACCCCAAAATGGCGGCCATCCCTATCCCACAATAAGGTAGTATGGAAACAAGAAGTGATTCTGACCTACAAAGAGGAAAGATGGGAAGGAAAAGGCAACATCATATGAAGAATAAAAGTAAAAATATGGTAGAATAAAAGTAAAGCACATTCCTATTGTATTGTGAACAGGAATCAAGCATGAAGTCTTAGGTTATATTATAAAACTCCATTTCCATGAACACAAAGCTGCTCCATAAAATGTATGGGATGAAGGGCAGTGACTTCCCCACAACTACGTCTTGTTCCCGAAGTATTCAATCTGCATACCTTTTGGAATGAACTATCATTATTTTCCCACCACAAGCAGCTCATTCTACAGAATCCACATTCCATTCCCAGACACTTGGATCCATAACATTTCTGGGTTTTAGTTAACATTTGATTTTCCCCCAGTCTAGAAATTCTTCAGATAAGGTTGAACAAATATTTGACTCCCTGGCCCAGATATTTATTTATTTTTATTAATGCCGTTATTGTAATTGTCATTACCTGGAATCCTCTGCTTCTGAAAACTGCAACTAAGCGGAACTGGGAGAAGCCGATAAGAAGCAATTGTTGTAGGAGAATATTTGGATCGGCACCGATTAGTTGTCGGTTAGTCACATAAAAAGCGGGCTTATTCAATCTGCAGTGAAAGATGACTTTTGTTAACTGAGGATGGGGAAAAGAAGAAGAAGAAGAAGAAGAAGAAGAAGAAGCCATAGTCCCCAAGGTTGCAATTCTCAATAACCCATCCAATTTAAATGGGTGCAGAACTGTATCCTGATAACACAATCCAAGCCTACCCTATGAGTTTTTTGAAGGTTAAAGAAAGAAAAGAAATATACACACACACAAATAAATAATAATCCATGGGTTATGATGTTAAAAAATCCAAGTCACTTCATTATGCACTCAATGTTGTTTGTGTTGAGAAAAAAGAGAAAAAAATCCAGAACAACATACTGAACCAGCACCCATCTTTCTCTCTTTTCTATTGTGTCACCAGAACCCATCCATACCAAGTGCCTACCTGTTTACTGAAAGCCACGTAGTCTTGCAGGCATAACTTTTCCAGTTTTTCTCTTTATTACCCAGCTTCCTTCTCAGCTGGTATTGCTTGAGGTGTCCTGGCCTTTGCACTTCTTTTCCCAGAACCTGAACCACACAAATCTCATTAACTACTTTCCCTTTGTCTGAGCTGTGCCCAGCATCCTTTATTCTTGGTAGGTACCTACTCTGACTTCGCCCAATCCTATCCAACCTATACCCCAGCTCCCATGGTACTATCTGCATTCAGTATCCAATACTTTTGGCTTTCCTTGCCCTTTCTTCTTCGTCTCCTTCAAATGCCCATCCTTCCTGCGTGACTGTTTTTAGGGAGACCTTGCCACCCCAACACCCACCCACCTTTTATCTGCCGATTCTTGGTATCCAGCCTAATGGATGTGATCTCCCAATAAGAGACTATATGCCCCGTCCCCTTGCAGTGCCAACTGCCCATACCACACTGTCTTGTTTTGGCGCTGTGAGTGGCTTTTGGGCGGGCTTGTACAAGAATAAATATCATTCCTGGGCACTGAGATGGGGTTGGGGGGGAGGAGGATAGGATGCGCCAAGGGGTGGGGGGAAATGCAATGCTGCTGTGACATTTGTGCTAAGTTGTCGTGTCAGATTTGAACTTAATTCCCTCCAATGGATCAGGGGTGGGGGAGAAGAGAGTAGAGAGAGAAGTCCCCAGCTATACGACCATGCGCCGTTGCTTGCAGAAATCATGGAGAAGGAGCCTGTCATAGTCGGTCAGGGCTACAGGGGATGGCAGAGATGGGGAGGGAAGGGGGGAGGATTGGGACAGACGGCACAGAGAGAGAGGCGTGAGCTGCACCTCCTAGTCAAAGGCTGCAGGGATGGAAAAACGAGAAGCCAAGAAGCTTGGCTCCAAGCCGTCTGATTTTAGCCCGTCAGCCTCTGAGTATTCCAAGTCCAAGTTCACGGGCCTCTCTTGTTCTAGCCAAATAGGCCCCAGAGAATCCACTCTTATTTAAAAAACCAAAAAACAACTAGGAGTCCTTGCTCCTTATACTCAGTCCCCCTAGGCACGGTGTCCCTCCAAGTGGAACTAGAATTGCTCCTCAGCCCCCCCTCCCCCATCCACAGACATGCCCCGTTCTCCTTTCAGATGACCCAGATGACAAAGTAAACGAGATTCCACTGCAGCCCAAGACCAAAAATCCTGAACAGCCTTCTATCCATCTAATTCCCCTACCCGCCAAAAGAAAAAGAAAAGAAAGAAATAGAGCCCACTCCCAATATAAAACTGGGAGAAGAAGATCTAATGCTTTAGAGCAGTGGTTTCCAACCTGTGGTCTGTAGACCACCAGTGGTCCCCAAGAACAAAAATATGGTCTGTAGCCTCACCATAACTACACCATTGCCTGAAAACCATGTGGCGACGTCTTGCAAAACCTTCTTATAGTGGTGAGGCAATGAGGATGTCAGGAGGGGAGAGGCTAACTACCTATGAAAGATTACTACTTCCACATCAGCTCCAGATTATTAAATATGGTTTTTTGTGGGTTAGCAGATGGCCAGAGCTGATGTGGTCTATCCAATGCAATTTTCTGAATCAGCACCCCAAATAACCAAACCAAATCTGAAATTGACCAAAACCTGATTTGTTACCATTTTGTTGGAGAGTGGTCCCTGGTCAAAGTGGTCCCTGGTCAAGTGGCTCCTGCTCAAAAAAAGATGGGAACTATTGCTTTAGAGAAAAAAGCAGTACACTAGGGGTGGATTAGGGAATGACCTAGGATATAGAAATCACAGGAGAGAAACCAGACAAAACAAACTAGCCTGTAAGAGTTTGTGTGGACAATGAGAGAGAATTCTGAAGGGTCCTGTGTGCAAGATTAAGCAGCAGTCCCTGCCAATGTACAAAGGAAGACTACTGTGTCTGAAGGGGAGTGTTGGGCTTCATGCTGATGTATGCATGTGTACAGTTGGATCTTCTTATCTACAAGTTCAACCAACCATGGCTTTAAAATATTTTTAAAATAAATAAACCCGGAAAGCAGGCCTTGATTTTGCTATTTTATATAAGGGGCACTATTTTACTATGCCATTGTATAAAATGGGGCTTGAGCATCCATGGATTTTGGTATCCACAGGGGTCCTGGAACAAAACCCCAGCAGAAACCAAGGGCCCACTGTGTGTATGTATGATTTTTTTTTTTACTGCCAGAAATTTGGAAAGACATTTGTGGGATTTCTGCATCAGAAACCCAAATGATTTGCCTGGTTTTAGGTGGTATGTACCTTCAGTTGGAGTAAAGTGCATTTCTTGTTTTGTCTCACATAGGCCCCTTCCAAACAGCTGAATACAATCCCACATTATCTGCTTTGAATTGGGATATATGGTAGTGTGGACTCAGATAAACCAGTTCAAAGCAGATATTTTGAGTTATTCTTCCTTGAAATTTTGGGTTATAGGTTGTGTGGAAGGGCCCATAGCCAACAAAAAAAGCAGGGAGCAGCCCCACTGAACAACTTTAACCCACACCCATTATTCAAAGCACTGTGTAATAAGCCCACTCCTGAGGAAAACTAGATTGCTTTTTCCTCTTCAAAAGGCAGAACTTATTTTACAGTATTTCTTCCACTTAGGGTTTGAGTTAAGGTTAGGAACAAGTTAACAACTGGTCCCCTTCTTACAATCCTTTCAAACCCTAAAATGCCTTCAGGGTAGTTTAACCTATCTATGTACTTTAGATTAGCGGTATTCAAAGTGATGGATCATGGCCAATCCATGAGCCATCAACTGCCAATCCTTGGCAAGTTTCCCAAGAAACAGAAAGCGCATGATAATAATAGGGCACAAATATTGCCCCGATTCCTTACACACAGCAGGCTCTTATCACATTACACAGCTATAACAGCACTATGGTTCCATATTAACTACCACAGCTGCATCCTTTGGAGCACAGGGGCTTGTGGTTTGGTGAGGCACTAGAGTTCTTTAGTGGCAATTCTCAATAGCCCTTGCAACCCCCATGACTCCCTAGGAGGCAACCATGCAAGAAAAAAATGGAATAATTGTGTAGGGTCAAAGGACTCTGGGGGGAAAATATTGTGTTTCTATATCAAATAGCCTGAGAAGCATTGTTTAAAATCATCTAATGAACTGTGGTCAAAAATATATTCCCTCTTTGATTTTTACAAACAAGACCTAGAGCAGGCATGGGCAAAAGTGTGCTCTCCAAGTGTTGTTAGGAATTGTGGGAGTTAGAGTCCAAAACACCTGGAGGGCCCAAGTTTGCCCATGCCTGACCTAGAGGTAACAGCTCTCCCTGATGTTCACTCCAACATCTACACTCCTGCATACTGTTTCTAATCATTGAGGCTCAATTTTTCCATCTATATAAATAAAAATGCAATGTTCGTTTGTGGGATTAACAAAACTCAAAAAACACGGGGCAAATTGAAACCAAATTTGGACACAATACACCTATCAGGTCAATGAGTGACCATCACTCATTAAAAAAAACTGAAAAACACAATGGAAGAGACTTTAAAAGCCAAAAAATAAAAAAATATATTACAAGGCACGTGCAAAACAACTTATTTACACATATATACATATATATACACACACACAAAACACATATGCACAGACTGGGCCACAGCAATGCGTGGCAGGGGATGGCTAGTCTATATAAATAAACATGTAATGTTCGTTTGTGGGATTAACATAACTCAAAAACCACTGAACGCACTGACATCAAATTTGGACACAATAGACCTATTAGGCCAATGAGTGGCCATCACTCATAAAAACACTGAAAAACACAGCAGAAGGGACTTACAAGACAAAAAAAGGCAAAAAGACGCTACAGCGCATAAACAAAAGGACTCCCCCTGGCAATACAAAACACTCAATAGTATATCCACGCTTTCTTCCAGACTACAGCTCCCAGCATCCCCTACAACAAGCCCTTTAGGAGAGGAGGATGATCCAAATGCACTGCTTCCAAGATGCAAGCTTTCTTCTCCTTGGATTTCTTTGAATCTCAATCCCTACATATTTCCATTTTCCTGTTCCTGGGCTGCAACTCACAGCAATCCTCCAGATAGATAGATTAGATAGAGATAGGTAGGTAGGTAGGTAGGTAGGTAGGTAGGTAGGTAGGTAGGTGGGTGGGTAGGTAGATGGATCAGGAGGACTGCTGGGAATTGCGTCCCAAGAAAAGGTAGCAAAGGAAGAAAGGGGAGAAAGAGGAAGGGAAAGAAAGGTGGGGGAGGAAGGGAAGTGGAAGAGAAGGAAGGAAGGAAGGAAGGAAGGAAGGAAGGAAGGAAGGAAGGAAGGAAGGAAGGAAGGAAGGTTAAAAAAGGGAAGGAAGGAAGGAAGGAAGGAAGGAAGGAAGGAAGGAAGGAAGGAAGGAAGGAAGGAAGGAAGAGAGAAAGTTAGCCACAGCAACGCATGGTGGGTACAGCTCGTTATGAATAAGTAATAACTGTTGATTTTTGCTTCCTTTGTAAACATTTGCTTTTGAGTAAGAAATATTATAAAAGGGAAATGAAGCTGGCAGGAAAGGTGCACTGGGTCGGTCACAATCTACCAATGCAAGAAGGTGAAAGTAATTGAAACTCACATCAGGGAAAATATGAAGTCTAGAAAAGAGGATAAGCAGGAGTGGCAAACCCGCCTCTCTCCAGATGTTGATGAACTCTGGCCAACCACATCTGGAGAGCTACAGGATCCCCACTTAAGATCTGCCAGACAATGCAAGAAGAGATTGCGTTCTCAAAGGAAAGGGAAGGGGAAAGAAGACAATTCAAAACTTATGGGGGAGGAAAACAGCCAAGAAAAGTCAATAAGTAGAAGTGGGTAATTCCAAATGCCGCCTAAAGCTGAGGTAAGGAACTTACTGTTGTCCAGACTTAGCTGTCCCTCACCCTCCATCAATCCAATCTATTATAGCCAATGGACAGGGGATGGAAATTATAGTCCAGCAATACCTACAGGGCTGCAAATCCATGATTTCTAGAATGGAAATGTGAGTGGAACATTGTAGTCAAAACCAATTGGATCAAGAAAGTGGTTTTGGTATTAGGATCCATGGACTGGTTTGATCTTCTTGTGGTCCAAGGCACTCTCAGAATTTTCCTCCAGCACACAGTTTAAAAGTGTCTATTTTCTTTCGCACAACCTTCCTTACAATCCAGCTCTTTAATTCATAGGTTACTATGGGGAATACCATTGCTTTAACTATGCAGATCTTCATTGCCAGTGTGATGTCTCTACTCTTCACTATTTTATCAAGATTGGTCATTGTTCTCCTCCCAAGAAGCAAACATCTTCTGATTTCCTGACTGCAGTCTGTGTCTGCAGTAATCTTTGCGCCTAGAAA